TACATAGTTCATCCATATGGCGATTCTGAGTTGTGAAATTTGGACAAATTTGGACATTTGAAATGTAAGTCTATTTTAATCTAATTTGGAGTCCAAAACATGTCACAACCAAATGAAAGGGAAACTCCTATATATCAAGTACTATGCTACATTTTTCCACTAATAAATAAACGTGTGCACAAATTCTCTCCACATATATGAACAATTTAGTGCAAATTCCTGTTAACATACACTTGAACAAATGTATCTGTCTGGGATTTATGTGACAAATCGGCTTGCTTTGCATAGATTAACAGATTCATATAATTTGTTCTTTCTCACTTCTCTTTAAACTTGGCTGTCAGTAAGCTCTGATTGGTTGACTTACAGGCCAAGCGATCAGAGCACTCTTACTTACTTACATAGGAAATGTACCACACAATGTAAATCTGAGCTATCAGAGCTCAGTCTGCTCTGAGCCCTTAATAGGTGAAGATGGATTAATTTTATTGCAGCGTGTTTTTAATTTTGTTTCACTAGTAACGTCAAGATTTATGGATTTTTGTTTTGGAGCTTAAGAACAGAAGAATTAGAAGTTATATGACTGCAGATGGGTTATTATTTTTTTTATTTTTAGGTATTAAAAGGTATTAACCCATCACTATTATTAGGATGAGGGGGGTACATAGGGTAATTTAGAGTTTATGGGGGGGGGGGCTAGGGGATTGGAGCTCTAAATTATTGTGTATGGGTGGATAATATATGCCCACCTCCTTTGCTTAATTTAATAGAGCTCCCACCAGCCACCCATAGGTAGGAGCTGGGGGAGGGACAACTGATCCGTTCCTGAATATTATAATTAAGAATATTATAATTAAAAACTGCAGCCAAGAGTTTCTAAATATAGCCACCAGAGGCTACAGGCCTATTATTTCTGTTAATGCCACCTCCCCCGTTATTCCACAAGTCATGGTGCGGTTCTAGTGATTAAGCAGATATGCTAGGTGGGGGAATAGAGAGCTGTTAAACTCCACCTATTGTATGGAGAATTTTTTATTTATTCATTTATTGTTTTAAATATATGTCATGTGGCAGCTGGGTAGAAAGCCACAACATTATGAACCCTTGCATTGCCAAGGTTTTTTTTCGATTTTTCCGCTGGCCTAGAATGTGAAATTCACTTAATTTGAGCTATTTTTATAGATAAAGGAGAGAAATGGTCTGTCTTAATTGTGATAGGTTAAATCTTAAAATATAACTTTTATTGGATAACAATAATAAAATGAATTTTAATTAGATAAACTAAAATTAAGTGAAAAAAGGGATAAAAAAGGGGAGGTAATATATGACTCAATTAATCAGAAATGTTAACGCTTGGCTGTCAGTTGGGATGTATACAATATGATCACCGCGAGTGCGGTAGTGGATTGCAACAATTGTAATACTGTCTGGTGAAATTGCAATGTATGTGACAAAGTATAAACCAAAAATACTGAAAGGAGAGTGTATAAATCTAAGTGGTATTCACTATGAGATAGTAAATTGCAAAAATCACGTAACAAAAAGGGTGGGAAAAAAGTAGTACAGGGGAAAATTGCCTAAACGGTTGAAGGCAATACTTGAGGGCACAATAGGGACGTGCATGGGCTAAAATTTTGTTCAGCACTTCCAAAATTCTTAACTTCAGCAATTCGGGAATTCGGTAATTCGGGACTTCGGCAATTCAGTTCGGCACTTCTGAAATTCAGGACTTCGGGTCTTCAGCAATTCTAACCCTACCCCTAACCCAAACCCTAAACCTACCCCAACCCCCCCCCCTACCCCTAACCCTACAATTAACCCTAACCTTACTAGGGTTCGGGTCAGGTTAGGGATAATGGTGGGAGTAGGGTTAATGATAGGGTTATGGGGTAGGGTTAGTGGAAGGGTTAGGTTAATGGTAGGGTTAGGGGTAGGCTTAGGGTTATTGGTATGGATGTGCGTGTAATGAGGGGCGTTTACAGCAGAATTAGAAGTTAGATTATCCAATCGGGATATTGGTGAATACAGCTGTATCTCCCGTTTTTTATCTCCAGACTCTTCTATCTCGTATACGATACACCAAATAGAAATAGGAGAAAAGAACGTTAAATAGGCTGTGATCAACACATAATGAAGTACGTATCGCCCCTTTGAGGATGAACTCCAATGAGAATCAAGGTCAACACCCTGAGTATCCAGACCTGGTACCACCCCTCAGTAGACAGAGACCAACTAGGACTAAGGTGGGCGTACACATTACAAACCTTGTGTCTATGATGGTAGAAATTGATCATCTTGGCACAACCCCTTTACGCAGCAGCCAACTTCATTGTAAATTAAGGATACATATAAATGGATAGCCTAACACTGCTCCTGACGACGGCGCACTGACACGCCGAAACACGCATCGAGCTATTTGTTTTTTTGCTTTTTCACTTACTACACTTGGTAGCACTATTATGCACTAGTTTTAGTTAAGTTTCATTTATACTTTTTTGTTTGAGCAAGGGAGAGTGCTTCAGGTAGGCATGTCCACCTTACCTAAGTTACTCAGTTGGGGTTGCTGTGGGTGGTTTGGGGTTTAACCTCTTCATATATATATTATCCCCAACCTCTGGATACACCTGACCTCTGTATGCTGGCTGGGACAGCATCTAACTTTGGCTTAGACCTTTTAGCTTTGTTTATCTTAGCTATGTGTGCATATTTGCATATATTACATATACTCTTTTGTCTCTCCCTCTCCTCTTTTACAACTTTTGTTTTCCCTTAGGACTAATAAAGGTAGGGCTCCCTATCCATATATTTCCTGTGTTATTCTCCTAATTAGGACTTGTAGTCCACCCCCTTCAATATTTGTACCTGTGTTAATGTGTATGTATATCTGTGTAAGTATGCAAATCAGCGTGGATATATTTGTCAGGGTGTGCATCTATGGATGTTTGTGTGCATTTGTGTGTCAGGGTGTGTGTGTGTGTGTCAGGGTGTGTCAGGGTGTACATGTGTGTTTCAGTATGCATGTGTCACATCTATTTCCTGGTTGCGGATCAATTCTGGCAATGGCTTTTGGTATCCAGTACTCTTTTTACAATTCTTGTTTAGTTTTTCTTGGTTTTCTGGTTTTCTATTCTATGTTTGATTTTCTTTATGCTGGGTTTTCTGGGTCCATTCCTTTATTCCGTTCCTGGACTTCTCAGTCTATTGGTTTCCTTTAAATGTTTGTTTTTTGTTGCCACACCCGTTCCTTTCTGTTTCAGTTGGTTCCTGCAGGCAGTGGTTTCATGTCCAATGTTTATTGTACATATTGGTACTTATTTATGTCTCCTCTTGTTTTGCCTTGTATCTCTTGTCTTGTTTTATTGTCTTGTATTCTCAGTTCATGTACAGTCCCATCCTGCCCTGCCCATGTCCTGTTCATGTTTCCCTTATGCATTGTGTACATGTTCTGGGTTCTGCTTTCTGTCCTTCTCCGGTTCTGGGTTCTTCTAGTCTTGTCTTGTTATCTTCTTTGGTGCCTGTTCTAGTCTTGCCTTTTTTTCTAGTACTGGATACATATCTAGTAGATTACCATATATATATATATATATATATATATATATATATACATATAAAATATAACCTTTAATAGAGGATAACAAAAAATGTTATTATTCATCGCTGAAAAAAATTCTACACCAGCCCAATAATGCGTCGCGCCAGCATAGTGTGCTGATAAATGAAGTGATCTTGTTTATTTTGAAGTTCTATGGGTGCACTCTTCACTTTGAATATGTTATTGTGCATGAGTATGCAACTAGCAACAAGACAGGGCCAATACGTGCTCATTATATATATATATATATATATATATATATATATAATTACATATTTAATTACATTTCTGTGCGTATTATGCATAAATAAATGTATATTACTATATGTGTATAGGCATAATTATATGTTACTAATACACACATCAATATACATGCATATATATATATATATATATATATATATATATATATATATATATATATATATATATATATATATGTGTGTGTATTACTGTCAGGATCACATCAATTTATGTCTATTACCTTTACCTCGTTTAGTGTATCTTGTCTCCAATTGTCTCCTTTTTTTCTCTTACAGCGACCCTTGTGCATCTTTTACTTCATCCCAGTCCCTGTGTGTTTCTTTTTACCCTTCTCCAGCCTCTGTATTTCTCTTTCCCCCAGCCTCTTTTGTGTTGTTCTTAGCCCCAGCCACTTTGTCTCTTTCTCCCCTTCCAAATCTCATCTGTGTGTCTCTTTCTAACTCCAGACTCTGTGTGCCTCTTTCTCTTCTCCCAGTCACTCTCTGTCTCTTTTTCCCCAGCCCAGCGTTGCCTCCCACAAATCTTGTGTCACTTTGTTCCCCTTCCCTACTGCATGTCTCTTTGTCCCCCCAACAAACCTTCCGTGTGTCTCTCTTCCCCAACTCCTCCCTGTGTCTCTCTCTTACCCCTCTGTCTCTGTGTCCCCCCTTCTCCTGTGTCTCTCTATTACCCCTCTCTTTGTCCCCCCAACCTCCTATTACCCCTCTGTCTCTTTGTCCCCCCTTCCCTGGTGTCTCTCTATTACCCCTCTCTTTGTCCCCCCATTCCCCTCTATTTGTCTCCCCCCATTCCCCTCTATTTGTCTCCCCCTTCCCCTCTGTTGTCCCCCATTCCCTCTGTTGTCCCTTCCTGTCTATTTTCTCCTTCCCTCTATTTGTCCCCCTTCCTGTCTATTTTCTCCCCTTCCCCTCTATTTGTCTCCCCCCATTCCCTCTATTTGTCCCCCCCTTTCCCTCTTTTGTCTCCCCATCCCTCTATTTGTCCCCATTTCCTCTTTGTCTCCCCTCCCCTCTATTTGTCCCCATTCCCTCTTTGTCTCCTTCCCTCCTTCCCCTATTTTGTCTCCCCCCCCCTTCCGTGTGCCTGCTTACCTTGTCACAGGGAGGTCTGAGGGAGGGGGCGGAGCTAGCTAGTAGCTACCATGCTCCCTCGCGGTTCCCATAATTCCCAGCATCTACACATCATACAGTAATCACTACTCTATGATGTGTAGATGCTGGGAATTCTGGGAACCGCGAGGGAGCATGGTAGCTAGCTCCGCCCCCTCCCTCAGTCCTCCTGTGCTGACAGCTGCACGGCGGCCGACCGGCACACTCACTGATACTGGCAGCTGTCAGCACAGGAGATGGGGCCGCCGGCCGCAAGGTGAGCAATCACCTCAGAGTGTGCCGCCGGACCGGCCACTCGGCGGCACCGACATGCGGCCGGTGGCCGCGATATTATTAAAGTAAAGGGAGCAGGGCTCCCTCTCTCTCTCTCTCCGGCCCCCCAGGTGCTGCGGCCCACCGGGAAATTTCCCGGTATCCCGGTGGGCCAGTCCGGCCCTGCGGGGGAGACTTGACTTTCTTCATCTCCCCACCTCGTAGTGAGGTTTTGTCATTCGACAGCCGCAGAGGCACAACCTACACTGTATCACTTCATCGCTGACTCTGAAATAGCTGAGTAATCTAGCAACTTAGTAACAGACCTCCATGTTATTTGCAAATATATACTTCTCTCCTTAATATGTAGCTTTATTTTGCTACTTTCTACCCCAGAAGATTCTCTAAGCAATTGCTGGGGGGTTTCTTGTTAGGAGGGTCATTAATCATACATTATTATTCTAGATGGCAACATTTTTACAAGTTACCATTACTCTGTAGCAGGATAAGCACTGTAGTGGGATCCTTTTTCATCTCAAGATTATATTAATTTTTCTGAAGTGGTATTTTTAGGCTATATATCCCACTCAGGAATGTCGGTCTCACCTATCTATACCTATTTTAATCATTTTTTGTTATCCTCATTTCTTCACTACTAATATGAGTATTTTAATACAGTAACTATTAAAGGTTATGTTTTATATATATATATATATATATATATATATATATATATATATATATATATATATATATATACATATACACACATGGTAATCTACTAGGGGGCTCCTTACTTCTTCTGACCCACCAGGTCTGTTTTTTCTTTTTTTATACACATAAGTGAGGGTTATCCCCTGTCTTGGTCGCCTCCAGGTACACACTTAGCTGGTCTCCCTAGGGGTATCTAGCTTGTTCTCTTCTGGATACATATATGCTGCAGAGCCTCTCTATTCAGATCCTGGGAGGTCTGCATATTATCATCTGGCATCTGAGATCCGCAGAAGCTGCATCAGGGCCCTCGTATGTGGCCACACAAACGCTGGTGCTCAACACCAGGGGGCATGTGGTTGCCCTGCACCAGGCCCTGATGATCCATTTCCACACAATGACTCCAACTATCAAGATCAGGCATACTGGGTACCGGCCACCGGACTGCCACCCCTGACAGCATGTATCTGTGTGTCAGGTTGTGCACCTGCGTCTGTGTGTATATGTCAGTGAGTATTTGTGTGTCAGGGTGTGTGCATGTGTCCGTGTGCATATGAAATTGTGTGTGTCAGTGTTTTTGCATATGTGTATTTGTGTGTTAATGTGTATATATATTTGTGTAAGTATTTATGTGGCAGCGTATGAACGTACATCCAAGCAATCAACTCCAACACAACTTGCAAACACACTCCTGCAATCTAACACAAACATTACATACAAACACAATTGTAAAAAAAGTAAGACCAGGCAGATTCTAAAATACGAAAGTGATGAAAATAATGGCATTTTTAATTTATCAAACAAAGTCCTTACCACCTTAGAAGTTAATGTCCTAAGAAAAGGCTTAAAATTTGCACCTACCAAAACAGCTTTCAATCATTCATTGACGTGAATACGTTTGTAAGAAATGCCACACTTACACGTTTTTATCAAATAAAAAAAGTAGAATCAATAAATCAGGATAAGGGTATGGAAGACCTCAGTATCTATAAATAATAATAATAAATAATAATAATTATAATAATAGTACCCTTAAAAATAAATCTACCTTCTACCCCACCTATTACAAATCAGGATTATTAGATATCTTCCAAAAAAAGTGATCAGGGAATTAAATAAACTAGAGGAAAAATGTAAATATGATAAATATAATTGAAGTAAAAAAGAAAGACACACTGTAAAAAAAACTCCAAAGAGATGAATCTATTATAATCAAACCAGCTGACAAAGGTGGGGGCTTGGTCATGTTATCAAAATACATGTACAAGACTGAAGCCCATATTCAACTGAATGATTTAAACACATACACAAAATTAAAGAAAGACCCTACTACCAGTGGCGTACTAATGGGGGGGATAGGGGGGTGCCACCAGGTGGGTGCCATCAGGCAGGGGGGTGCCACCAGGGCAGCCGACACAGCTCACACGCTGGGGCTGGGAGCAGGAGACCTGGCTCAGCTGGCTGCACTGAGAGTTGGGGGCTGTAGAATATTGTGAATATTTATTATGTTTTATTATGTATCTGTGTAAAATCTGGTTTGAAATCGTCACTGTTGAATCTTCTTAATTTCTTCTTGTCTTCAGTTGATTGATATATATACGTCTTTTGTATATATAGTCTTGGGCCAAATGCTCGCCACAATAATATATGTCTATATTATTGAAAAGTACTAATACGCAATCTGACTTACGGTTTCTTTAGGTTTATTCTTAGTTACGGATACATAATAAAACATAATAAAGGATGTTACAGGATAGTGGACATTCAACAGCAGATGGTAATTGCTGGACTTCTTTAAATCCTTACATCTTTACATCGAGAGAGAGCCAGAGCCAAGACAGAGCAACCTCGTGTCCCTCTGTTACTATATAGATGTGCTCATACTAACGTCAGCATTTAACTCTAGCCATATAAGGACAAGACCCCCAAATCCACATTCCAGAGCTCTCGGACAAAGAAAGCCTTGTGACTTAGACCATCTGTTACTTATGTCAATCCACACATCCATATAATCAATAGAAACATAGAATATGCAATATTCTACATTCCCTCTGTTTATGGTTTGTCTTAAAACCATAACACAATGTCACTAACCTGTCCATTCATACATCACTTGTATCACATTCATTGAGCATAGAACAAGATGTAGTCACAACTTTCTATTATATGAGAGTGCTTAGAAGGTCGAGTTTCTATCCCTCATACTGCTTACTTTACTTCAAAGCTCACTCTGTTTCAGCTATGTATTGATATCCATATCATAACTACTTGAACATAATATATACATATAACAATAATAAATGAATAAAATAAAATATTTACAAATGTTGATCCAATAAACAATAAAACAATCAGAAAGATCTACCTGCTCTGGTACAGTCGTATCTTTGTAGATAACAAAATCAAGATCGTAACTTTCTAAATAATAACTGTGTATCACTATCATATTCCTACAGACACATATAGCAAAGTATTTTCATTCTCAATACCTGATATTACTTAAGTACTAATACATGTATTACTATAATATCCTGTCCAATTAGATTTCCATGAATCACATGGTTTCTAGCAACCTTAAACTCTTTAGGTTGTATTCAAGAATTACATTCTTATACCATTAATACCACCTAGTGATGATTGTATCAGTACGTTACAATCATAGTATTTAATTTGTATATTCAGTAGGCTTTCACTACCTAAAATATATCAACACTACTTATAAGTCTCATTCAAAGGATGTGTTATCAACCATGAAGTTCTACAATAATTCTTCAAATAATGTTCATGGTGTTGACAATACTTATTGTTCTAGAAATTCTCCACCCATACATCTTTCTATCATAGATTTGTTTTTGTTTACATAATTATAATTTTGACTACTATTCTACCTTGTAGTAACAAACTTTTCATTCAATAGAACATAGTTTACTTTAAAATAACTTGGAAATTATAATTTAAATTCATTAGCATCACTCTCTTCATTAGCATTGTGATGACTTATTAATGTAATACATCTTAAAAGCAGGATTGTCCTAATGTTCTGACCAATCCGTATTCCTTAGTACACTTCAACTGACTAAAATAAAATAAAATAAACAAAACTTGGGATCATACTGCCCAGAAACTCTTATTCCTAGTCTGTGTCTAACAAACTCAGGGTAATCATAAAACAACTTAACAATGTATTCAATTCATTGGATACCGTCATATCCAGAAACCTATTCTCCCTAGTCCATACCTTTTATAGACTTAGGTCAAATATAATTGTGTACTATACTCCTTCAATTCAATTCCTCTTGGATCTCTGAACTCTTATATCCAAGGCATTCTTAATGTATATAATTACTTCATATAAATCAATATACATTATCCTTCCTTAGTTTTCTTCCTTATGTTACCATTATTTGTTTTACTTCACCTCGATTATAAACCAATTATTTATTCTAGTGAATCTATGAAATACTATTGCACTCAATCTTTGTAGTATTAAGTAACCCTGATCCTTATTTTATCGCCTTCATATTTTATCTACCTCTGATACTTCTCATCCTATGTATAGGTAATAATGTAATAGTTCTCTTCATAATACTATCCTTTCATAATCTTCTAAGTACTCTCTTTTGGTATTAATACTCATAACTGTTATATAACTTTTCATTGTCTCTTTTCTTCTTCGTTAATATTTAGGAATTGATATGTATGTAAGTGTCAATCTTTTATTTCTTTGTAAGTCTGTTAATCTTCTGTATCGAATGAACTCTGTAGAATCTTCCATCACAGTTTGCAGATCAGATGAAAAGTCTCTTTCCAACAGTCGATGTCCAGTTGTCTGAAGGAATGCTTTCCTGATTTATTGCCACAAGGATCTGTCACGCTTTACCAGATCAGTTATTTCTGTCTATTTAGCTGCTTCATCCACACAGCTGCGCAGTTCTGGGCTTGAATCCGGATGATTGCCAATCACTGCCACGTGCTTGCTTCTAGAATTCACGTTGTATCTTGTGCTTTTTGTCTCAGTTGGAGAAAATAGTCTTGTACAGTCTTTGATTTGAAAACTTTCTTTTTCTTACAAACCACAGTTCTTCTATGAGAGTCTAGATTCTTTTTTTCTATTCAAGTTTGTTTTCCCAGTTCCAAAATAGCTTTGTAACTCGATTCTTCTCTCACCCCC